CCCCAAAACCCCAAAACCCCAAAACCCCGGGAGAGCCCAATCTTTAGAATTATATAATAAATAAAGCATTTTCATGATGTAAGTCTAATGGTGTAATATAATCCTAGAAAGCAGTATTCAAAAATGTTACAGAATCTTATAAAAATTGGTTTTCCAATATCTAATCTTATTTTGATAAGTGGCTCCAGACAGACTTGGAATTTACAAGGTTAGGATCCCAAATTCCTCAAAGTAAGGAACCTCTGATATTATAATAGACTAAATGCAGCAGCTTAATGATACCACCATAAGGCTTATCAAGCAGGTAAGCAGACATGTAGAGGCTATCTTTAGTAGTATTTTAAATGATACCAATTTAGGTTGGCTTTGTAGTAATTCTTTGATTAATGCATTTCTATTTACCCTTTCTTTCGTCCGTTATCATTATACTCATCGATAGTCTAATAATCTAGATTTTCCAAGTAAGCCCAGGCTTAACAGTCTTAGGCTTTTGATGAGAACAAGCATGCAAAAGAATGGGAGATGATGGTTGGAGACCTGATATTTGCAGTATACTCGATCTTTACATATCTGCTGGCATCTTACTATCCTTCTTACATCAAATTCTGCATGTGTTTGAGCTGCTCTGTAGGTTTACTTATGATAAACTCGCTGTTCATCACCAAGCATGAAAGTTATTTTAATTGATATGTATCCTTAGCTTAGTGTTATTGATTCTTTACACCAATATTAACCCCTTTTAAAAGACTACTGAACATTCCAGTATTCTTTCTCAGTGTAGAATGCACTCCTACAGATCTTACTGTCAACTTTGAAAAATAGAGTGCAAGCGTAGTTTCATCAGTTGGGTCAGCTTGCTATTTCTACTGTGGACTTAGCATAATTCACTAAAAACTCAAGAATATGTATGAGATTATCCTGGAGAATGGTAAACTTGTCAAGGAGAAGGTAAAGGTGGCAATAGAGTTCACTCACCCTGTCTTGATTCTCCCTGAGAAGTCTTCATCATCCTTCCAATTTTACTCAAATTCTGAGTTTGAATCTAAAATGTACTCTCTTCAGCAACAAATAGAGAACTTGGAGAAAGTTGATGGCTTGGATAAAGTAAAGAGGAAAGATTTGAAGTCCAATGAGAATAAACTTAATCTTCTCAGATACCTATCTCAGCAACAAAAAGGGTTCAAAATGAGCAATGGGAATGCTAGCTCCCTTCAAGATTTTAACACAACATTTGATAGTAATATTGTTTTATTTTAATATTTTGGTGGGGTTTTGGGGTTTTGGGGTTTTGGGGTTTTGGGG